AAAAAAACTTATATACCTTAAAAACCAATTAGATAAATTTAAAGTGGAAGGCAACACTGGCATATGAAATATGTAACCAAATAGAAGCTTTTAATCCAAAATAAAATATATAAGTTTATTGGGTAAGTATTTAGGTTAGGCTTAAAAGGCAGTGAACAGTTAGTTTACATGGGTAGAAATACTTAGCAGATCATCACATGTAAAAATACTGTCTTTGTTCAATCCTAATTAAGGGCATGGGGAAGTGAAATGATCCCAAGATTATACTACACATCTGATAAAATGGCAGAGTTAAGTGTTGCTAAGAGGAAATAGATAGTATATTGCCAATATCATAAATTGGATTAATGTAGGGGAAAAGAATTTGACTAAACATATATTTTAAGGGAAATGGAAGTGGTATACCACGAGGCTAAGTGTTTGATCTTAAAATTTCTGTTTATTGATGGCACACTGTATCCCTAGTCTACCTAGAATTTGTTTCAGGGAGCCTTGGCATAGGGTGAATAAACTAGTGGACTCAAGGCAGAATTTCTTGGTGCTTTTTTATTGGTTACTTTTGCATTGATAAAGTAAAAATTTAAAAAGTTCCATTCTATCAATGCATTCATTGAACCAAATATTTTTCATATAAAATGGGGAATGGAAATGATTGTTTTAATTTGGTCGAGTGGTAGAGGGTGAAATATTTGTAGGCTTCCTCTTATCACTAGCTTCATCCTAAACTTTGTCTCATTTTATTATTCACACAGTTGAAATACAAAAAGCTTTACAAATGATACTTCCCCTTCACTCCCAGAGTTTAGGAGGCAGTAGTCTAGAGTAGTATTTAAACATTAGTCTTGGGCCTCAAGAAGAGATACAAACTCCTGGAGATACGCATGGATAGTTTTAAATGAATTAATTTTTAGACCTTAAACTTCCATATCTGCTTTTTACTAAAATTGAACTTATTTTGAACCAGTCTTTTTAGCAGTTTCTTCTTTCCCACGTTCCTTTCCATCATTGTCTTTTTCTATTTTACAAAAGAATGGCATAACTCTCCCCTTGTTCCTACTCTTACCATGATGCATTTGCCCTGTGGTGGAAATACCTCAGGAGAGTAGGGTATCAAGACAATTCCAAGAGACCAAGACAGTGGTGCTGGAACAATTTGGATATACAGTTGAAAAAGGATGAAGTTGGACCCCTGCCTGCTTCATACCATATGTACAAGTTATCTTAAAACTAATCAAAGATCTAAACGTAAAAGCTAAAACTATAAAACTCTTCTTAGAAGAAAACAGATGTGAGTTTTGGGGGTCTTAGGTATGACATCAGAAGCATAAGCAATCAAAGGAAAAAGATAAATTTGACTTCATCAAAATTAAAAACCTGTGTCCATCAAAAGGCAATATCAAGGGAATGAAAAGATAAGCCACAAAATGAGTGAAGATATTTGCAAATCATATGATTGATAAGTGACTTGTGTCCAGAATACATTAAGAACGCTAACTGTATGAAGAAATATATATAGTTGTATAAAAGAGTAAGTAACTAACAGGAAAAAAAAAGCCCATGAATTTAAAAGTGTACAAAGGATCTGAATAGATGTTTGTCCAAAGAAGATGTACAAGTGGTCAGTAACCTATATTAAAAGATAAATGGTCAATATCATTAGTGATTAGAAAAGTACAAGTTAAAACCACATGAGATGCCACTTCACACTCACTAGGGTGGCTGTAATAAAAAATACAGATAACAAGTGTTGGTAAGGATGTGGAGAAATGAGAACCTCATACGTTGCTTGTGGGAATGTAAAATGATGTATCTGCTTTGAAAAATAGATTAGCAGTATCTCAAAAAGTTAGACCTAGAGTTACTGTTATTATCCAGCAGTTCCACTCCTAGATGTATACCCAAGGGAATTAAAAACATGTTAAGAGAAAACTTGTACATGAAAGGTTATATGAAATACCCAGAATGGGCAAATTCATAGGGAAAGTATTTTAGTTAGGTGGAGGGGGGAGTTGGGCATGTTTGCTAATGCTTGTTACTAAATTTTTTTTAAAGGGTGGTGAAAATGTTCTGGAATTAGATACGGTAGTGGTTGTACAAATTTGTGAATATGCCGATAACCACTGATTTTTACACTTGCAAATGAGTTTTATGGTATGTGAATTATTTCTCCAAAAACTAACAACAACTCAGGGACCTCAACAGTGGCAATTCCAAGTTTTGGTATTAGTATTCAGAAAAGAAGTAGTTTAATCTTTGGGTAACACATCTGTTAATAATGGTTTCCAGTTTTGTTTTTACTTCTAACAAAATTGAAGGATTTTTCCATTTTGCTATTTACATGTAATCAATTTGTTAGCTGCTAAATCATTAATAATATTCTGGATGAGAAATCACTATGGGAGTTTTTAACAAATAATTCAGAAGGAATTTTTAAAATTATGCAACTCTACTGACAAAATCACTTCCATTTATATGAACAGAATTTCTCAGTGCTTTCTTTAAAAAAATTAGAAAAGTGGGGACTAGGTTGAATCATCTCATTTTAGCAATACTTATTCAAACAGATGAATGAACTAATTGGAAAAAAGCCCATTCCATCTTATTAACAAACACAGTTCCAGTAAAAATTTTACTTCTAATTTAGGTTAATTACTTATCAAATCTTTAATATGTCTATTATTTAAACGAATTATATATGTTAATAGTAATGATAATTGAATCCCAAATAAATTTTTAAACAGTTTACTTATGGTCAGAGGTAATTTTAAAAAGATTTCCACTTAAACTGCAGATATGTATGGCTGATTAATAATAGGCTTTCAGACATAAAATTTAGTACATATAGGGCAAATGGAATGAAAAGATGAGCTCAAAGAGAAAAAAACATGCAAAATTGCTTTAAAATGGATCATTTAAAGTGGAAAATTTGAAAATTTGTTTCCAATTGATGCTGTGTGATAATTTTGTGCTAGTACAAATTTTATAATGTTACAGCCTTATCAAACACGGGATTCACCAGGTAACTGCCAGACAGTATTCCTTTTCTGGAGGCTCTAGGGGAGAATTTGATTCTTTGCATTTCCTGGCTTCTAGAGGGCAAACACAATCTTTAGATCATAACCACCTTCTTCCTCATCTTCAAAGCCAACAAGGTCTCATCTCTCTGACCTTTTGTCATCTCTTTGTTTCTTGAACCACAGTTAGCAGAGGTTCTCTGCTTTTAAGGAATCCTGTGATTAGATTGAGCCCAATAGGCTAATCTCCCCATTGAAAAATGTATTGTAATCTGAATGACATCTGCAAAGTCCCTTTTCCCATGCAAGGTGACATATTCATGTGTTCCAGGAATTAGGTCTTGGATGTCTGTGAGGGGACCATTATTCTACTACCACAGTTGGTTCTTAGTTATTATATAACATTATACTGTTTTTTTCTTTTTGGTAAATGTAAAGATTGTAGTAGTGGTCAAGGGGGAAGACTTGGAGTTGGAGCTGATGTGTGTTAACATTAAAGTTATTTACTTCTGAACCTGTTTCCTTTCTAGTAAAATGAGAATAATGCTTACTACTACATATTGAAATAGATATAATAATTTAAGGCTATAGACTGGAGTCAGGTGACTTTTACCAAAGTTTTTGTGACTGTCTCTGCAAAGCAGTTTGTGACAACCTAACTGTTGTGAGTTTCACATTATAAATGTAGAAGTGCTTTGAAACTTATACAAATTACCGTATTTTAAAATTTTGATCGTATTAATTTTAAATATCTTTTAAAAAATTTTCCAGTGGTGAAAATGTTCAATACATCCTTTGATACCTAGTTAGCAAAATTTTTTTCAGGTTTTTATTGTTGTTTTCTATTTTCAGACTGACTTGTCTCCTTTATTAAATTAGAATAAGTGAAAATATAATAGAATTAAAATATGTAAATATTGATTCTCTGATGATTCTTTCAGCCACTAAGATTAAAAATTCAATTTTATTTGGATTTTTTGCATTCCTAATTATTTCCTCTTTTGAAAACTTCTTAGGAACTAATGACTATCTTTATTGTAGAAGACTCTCTTGTATTATTAGTAAGACTAATTGTAAAACCTGAGCTGCATTTTCCAATCTTGATTGTACTGTTCTCAGGCCATACCTGTCTGTGCCTAATTTAAATTGGGGCCATGCAGTATTACAAAAGAAAGCTAATTTCTTCACTAAAAATTTTTTAGGGTTGAATTTATCCCAGTTTCTATGAATGCAATCCAGTGGCAATTTGGTAGGGATGGATGGTGTTTTTCCCATCTCGACTGTGGTAGCCCTGAAGAAGATAGGAAGATACTCCCTTGTAATCTATAGAGGTGTCCCTCTTTGCTTGCCCTTGGAGCTTTCTCTAGTGGGCCATGGGGCATCCCTTGGGATTCTACCATCCTGCAAGTTGTCCTACCCGAGGTCCTAATGAGAGTCTGCTGACAGAAATCTAAAAGTCTTGAGAGCTGGATTGACAATTCCTGTGCTCTATTTGGAAACTCAAATTCTCTGAACATGGTCTTAATCTGTGTCTAGGCTGTGAAAACCTGTAGGAAGGGAACCACTTCAGCATCCTTAAGCAGTTGCCTATAGTTCTAAAGACCCCAGACCCACTCCTCTCTACCCAGGTAGCTCGAGTATGTTTCCATTCCTGTATTCTCCATCTACAGAAACCTTTATTTTCCTGTAAGACTTTGGGTCTGGGGCAAAGGGGGTATTTTACTAACAAAATAGTTTCTGTTCCTGTAAATACCAAGAGGGCTCTGAGACGACCTTATTATACAATGACCATTGTCCAAATCACAAAGAGGACTCTTGGACATTCTGATTTTTCCAGAGCTTTGAGAAAGGGTGCCTGAATCTGAAATTTTCCCAGAAGAGACCGTGAGAGGTGTCTAAAGGAGGTCCTCTCTTCTCAGTGTTGGTGGATCTCATAAGTGAGATGATGGCCTGAGAGGGGAAGTTAAAATAACCCTTATAGAGGCCAGTAAACCACTTTAGAACTTCAAATTCAACTTGTTCAGTGGCAGCGGTAGTAGTGACTGGGGTGAGGGTGACTGGCCCCAACTGTCCTGTTGGGCTGAAAGGGTGACTGGCTGTTGGGGCGCATTTGGTTGCGATGTCAGGGAAGAAGCAGCTGGTAGATGTGAGTCTTCTGGAGGAGGACAATGAGTTTGAGGAGTTCCCTGCAGAAGACTGGACTGGTTTAGATAAAGATGCACATGTCTGGGAGGATAATTGGAATGATGACAGTATAGAGGATGACTTCTCTAATCAGTTACAAGCTGAACTAGAGAGACATGGTTATAAGATGGAGACCTCAGAGTATCCAGAAGAAGTGTTGAAACAACCTAAACTTGAATTGTTTACTAAATTCTAGGATAGATAATCTAGGATGGGGCATTTTAAAAATGCTTTTTTCATTACCCACTTGGCTTTACTTTTGTAACACATAAAAGTAAACTAGTTGGGTGAGAGTGGCCCCACGTGGCCATTTCTGGTAGCAAATGACCAGCGGGCACCTATTAAGTGGCTCTGACCAGTGTTGCTGCTGGCAGTGGTAGTATATACTTGTACGTGCCAAATATGGGAGTGACTCATTCCTGCAGCTATACTTAGCAAAGAGACTATTAGTGTCACTGAAATAGATATTCTGGGTACAAGTACAGCAGGAACCCTTCCTACACAATAGGCAAGCAGGGTACAGATGCAGGTATAAAGGCCAGAAGGCAGCTGGGGAGGACAAACATAAAAGACTGTCCGTAGGCCTGACAAGCAGATGGAAGTCATAGTGTAGGCAAGGCGGTACTGTTATCCTGTTCAGGTCAGACTATGCCCATGAGGAGGTGGCCAAGGGGTGGAATGTTGTCTTGTGGTTTATTCAATGTGCTTGACAGATGTGCAGACATTTTCTTTTCTTTTTTTAAAATTTTACTTAAAGGTTTTATTTATTTTTAGACAGAGGGGAAGGAAGGGGGAGAGAAAGGGAAAGAAACGTCTTTCAGCTGCCTCTTGTACGCCCCCAACTGGGGACCTGGCCTGCAACCTGGGCAGCATGTGCCCTGACTGGGAATTGAAGCAGTGACCTTTTGGTTCTTAGGCCCATGCTCAATCCACTGAGCCACACCAGTCAGGGCTGGACATTTTCTTGAAACTTGTGTGGACCGAATGCTAACCCCAGTCTACAACCAGGTTGTCCTCTCACAGAAGTCTTAAGAAGTGGGCACCGTTATGGCTTTTAACTGTCCAATCCATGCTCACAATTTAGCAGCTGATCTTCTGTTAGAGGATATCAGACTAATCAAAGCAGAATACAAACACAATCAAAAGTTGGCAGTGGAAAAGGAAATCCCCAAGTACCAGGGCAGGAAAAGGGGCTTACCACTCCAGTTGTGTCTTCAAGCTGGCTCTCCAAAAACTGTCACAGGTGCATGTCACCAGGTTCTTGCTGATCGCAAACAAAGAATTGAACCTAACACACAGAATTTTGCTGCAGAGAGAGAGAGAGCAAATTTATTAAGCAATAGTACACTCCACAGAATATGGGAGCAGACCAACTTAAGCAAAGATTGGCCCTCAGCAGCCAGAGGGATTCTATTCTTATAGTGTGGATATTTCCTGGTTAGTTTTGGTGGGCTTTTATCACACATGATCTCTCATGATTTTACTTGATTGACCACTCAGGGAGGGGTGACAGCAATGATAATTTATTGTACTGCTATTATAATAAAGCAGGGATCATGCAATGGTTGGTCACTAGAAGCATCTTTTTCACAGGTGCAGTCATAATTCATCATGATTCAGCACTTTTCCAGGAAGTTTAACAGCCAGTCTTGGAACAGGGTATCTGTTCTGTGTTGATGTCCTTTGTGCTAGACGTGGGGTGCCTTTTGAGTTTTCTCATTCCCGACTATCTCCTGCCTCATTAATGTATCAGTATGGTTATATTACTTCAGCAGTATCAAATAAAATCTTTGTAAATGATATATAGTAAATCGAGTTACCAAAAAAATTTTGTGAAGATCATATACTTTCAGGTTGATTATGATATAGTTTCTGAGGCACATCTGTAATCTTTGACCTCTTAGGCACAATGTAATTTTCATCCTCTTAAACAACTTACAGTTTATAATTTCTAGAAAAAAATTTTAAAACATGCTGATGGGGAAGCAATCTTTGAGACTTCTTTATAGCTCTGTCAGTGTTTGGTTTTAATATTTGTCATATGAATATGCTTTACTAAAATGTATGAGTAAAATTATAACTCATAATTGTTAAAGTACATATTTTCCCCCAACATGTTACTGTAAAAACTTTTAAATAGTAATAAAATTTGAATAGATATAAATACCCATTTTATTAAGTATGTTCACATGCTAACGTTTTGCACCTGCTTTCTCTTTTTCTTTGTTTATAAAAACATACACTTTTTCTGAGCCATTTGAAGTAAGCTATAATTTAATGAGTGTATTCTAAGAACAAGGGTGTTTTTAGTAGTAGCTACATTATCATATCCAAGAAATACAATATTAGTATAATAATATGTAATATACTGTCCTTATTAATATTTCCTTTATTTCCCCCCAAAGCATACTTTATAGCTATTTTGATTTTTTTAAATGTTTTATTTATTTATTTTTAGACAGCGGAAGGGCACGGAAGGAGGGAGAGAAACATCCATGTGTGGTTGCCTCTTGCATGCCCCCTACTGGGGACCTGGCCTGCAACCCAGGCTGTGCCCTGACTGGGAATCAAGTCAAGCTGGTGATGCTTTGATTTGCAGGCTAGCTCTCAATCCACTGAATCATACTAGCTAGGTGGCTATTCTGATTTTTAATCCAGGAAACAGTTTAGGACTATCTGTTGCATTTGGTTGTCATATTTCTTTAGTTTTCTTTATTTTAGTATAAGTCACTGTTTGTACCACACCACCATTCTCATCCTCTCACCCATCACTGTGGTGTTTAATGATATCTCTAGTTTTTTTAAATAGGTTACCCCACAATTTGCTTTTTATATTTTTTTATTTCTTGACTAAAATTTTTTCAACATGAGTACTGTTAGAAGGGTTGTATATTTTCCATTGCATTATTTTAAAAGGTGAAGTAAAATTTTTTCATCTTATAATAGCTTAGTATTTTTGATTTAGTACTGCTAAAGATTTGTGATATATCTTTAAATTTCAAAATACAGTTTTGTACTGCTTTTACTTAATTTTTAAAAAAATTATGGTTCTCAATGCTTCTTTGAGTCTAAGAATTTCTGCTGGCAATCTATCCTTTCCTCCAGCCCATTACCCACCTCTGGCCCCTGCCCTCCCAGTCCAACCTTCAATCTCTTTAGTAAGAAGGTGCCTGTGTCTGGCAGAGTTGGTATGAGATGAAGAGACAGTCCTTCCCTGCTGCCAGGCTAATCAAGTTTTAGTTGGATCTTTAAGGACACACCAAGACAGTGAGGAGTCAGACACAAACCACAGGCTATGATGCTAAAATGGATTGATAAGGAACTTAGTGATTTGGCCCATTATTCTCCAGCGTAATGTTCTGCAGGTCCAGTTGTGGATGATATGTTTCATTGGCAAGCCACAATTATGGGACTTAATGACAACCTGTGTCAAGATGATGTATTCTTTTGACAATTCATTTTCTTACAGACTACTGTTCCAAACTACTTACGGTTGCATTTACAACAAGAATTTATCATCCAAATATTAACAGTAATGGTGGCATTTGTCTTAATATTCTAAGATCATGGTGGTCTCCTGCTTTAACTATTTCTAAAGTTCTTTTATCCATTTGTTCACTGCTATGTGATCCAATCCCAGATGACCCCCTAGTGCCAGAGATGCACAAATCTACAAAACGGACAGGTAAGTATAACAGGATATCTCAGGAATGGACTCAGAAGCATGTCATGTGATACTACCTTAAAGTCAGAATAACTTGCATTATAGCTGTGGTAAACTTTAAATTACTGTTCCTTTTTTGATTTTCTTATTCGGCTCTTTCCCTATCAGACCTCATCTTCTTTTTTTTTTTTTTAAGATTTTATTTATTTATTTTTAGAGAGAGGGGAAGTAAAAGAGAAAGATAGGAGAAGAAACATCAATATGTGGTTGCCTCTCATGTGCCCCCTACTGGGGACCTGGCCCAAAACCCATACATGTGCCCTGACTGGGAATTGAACTGGCAACCCTTTGGTTCGCAGGCCCACGCTCAATCAAGTGAGCTATACCAGTTAGGAACAGACCTCATCTTTTTTTATTTTTTGTTTACTTCCCTCCATTCATTCACATGCTCATCTGAGAAGACTTAGGTGCTTCCAGGTTTGGACAGTAACCACTTTTAGAAACTGTAAGATAGTCACAAGAGACAGTTGTCCAAGATTCAGAATGTGTTTTAAAAATGGAGCATGTGTGTTATGGGGCCAGTGTCTTTACTTTAACTTGGTCATGAGACTAAAACCATTTCTCTCTGCTCTAACATGCTGAAGAAATCAGCTGAAGGGGAGAAAGATGGGTGCTCAGTTGTTGCATCAAAAGAAGCAGAATTGTTCTTGCAGAATCCACTATTTCAAATCTAGGGTTACATGATATACTTTATGCTCATAACTGATGTGGCCGGACAATTGGTATTGAATTTATAGCATCAACAGAACAAAAAATGTGATGTATTATGCATGTCAATAAAAGAATGACCTGTTTTTGTTCTACAGAGAATGGAAATTAGAAGTCAAATTAGAAGTCAAATACCCTTTGTATTCCAAAATAGTGTCTCAAACATTTTGTAATTTTCATTTAAATTGTTAGGAGGCTTGGAGCTATGAGTTACTCTATTATATCTTCCAATACACTGTAATATAGCACTGAATAAATGATGCAAGTTGTCAGTGGATGATTGATTTATTTTATTTTTTTAATATTTTATTTTTTCTTTTAGAGAGGGGAAGGGAGGGAGAATGAGAGGTAGAAAAACATCAGTGTGTGGTTGCCTCTCGAGCACCCACTACTGGGGACCTAGACCGCAACTCAGGTATGTACCCCAATTGGGAATCAAACCCCATTTGGGAATGGAGCCAGCAACCCTTGGGTTTGCAGGCTGGCACTCAGTCCACTGAGCCACACCAGTCAAGGTGATTCATTTTTCTTCAGTAAATTTTCATAAACCAAAAAAATTAAATGATAGATTTCAAAAATGTAGGAAGTCATATAATAGACATCTGTGTACCTAGCACCCAGATTTTAAAAATACTAGGATTTAACCATATTAAATAATTACAGTAAAAATTTTATTCTAAAATCTGTCCTGCAACCATGGCCAGGTGGCTAAGTTAGTTATAGCATTGACCTGTACATCAAAAGGTTGTAGGGACCGATTCCCAGTCAGGGCACATACTTAGGTTGTAGGTTTGATGCCTGGTTGGGGCACATATAGGAGGCAACTGATTGATGTTTCTCTCTCTCTCCCTCTGCCATCTAACACTAGTAAACATATCCTTGAGTGAGGATTAAAAAAATTAAAATCTGTTCTACATACACAGGCATAATGTAGGTATACATTTTACAGAGAAGTAATAATAAATGGATGTCTGTCCCAATCTTATACCTCAAGAAATGTAATGACATCTTTGCATCTCTCCAGACCTCAGGACAATGACTTCTCTCTCCCCAGGAAAAAAACATTATCCTAAATTTGGTATTATTCCATCACTTAAGTATTCCCACTTTTGTATTTTCTTTTTAATAATACATTTTTTTACTGTTTCCTGTTTTTGAGCCTTATATGACTAAATTATACTATATATATGCATTCTTCTTAGACTTTTTTTGGTCCAACATTATGATTTTTAAGGTTTTGTTCATGTCGACATGCTCATCTGAGGTACATTTTTTTTCACTGATATGTTGTAATTCTATTATATGAATATATGACAATTCACTGTTGTTGGACACTTTAGTTTCCTCTAGTTCTTGCTATTAAGAAAGTGATGATGTAAAGGTTCTTGTACATGCTGACTGGTAGATATACGCAAAATGTTCCCCAGTTTTTATACTTAGAGCTAGAATTTTTGCCTCTTTGGGTATGTACTCTGTCAACTTTCCTAGTAATGGCAAGAAATTTTCTTGTACACAGTTGTACGTTAAGCCAAATAAGTTGAAGAGGAACAGGTCTGTGAGAGGATGAAAAAACAAAACAGTGAGTTCTGTTTTGTGTATTTTGAGTTTTATCATCTCATTAGAAATGTTGAGTAGGCATTTAAGATGTGTTTACAGCTTTTAGCTCCATTAATTTTTGTTTTTTTTCTGGGTTGACTCAATCAGGTGTCTCATTTTTACCTTCTTGAAGTAGTCTGTAAAAAAAATTACTGTTATATCACAGCATAAAAATAACTGAATCATAATAGAAGATGTGTTCAATTTGTATACCCTCAGTCTCAGGCTGCAATGCAGCCTCTGTGGTTCACTTATTTTTATGCTGTGATATAATAGTAATTTCAAAATAAAATAGACCTTGAATCACAGAGCTACTGGTTTTCTGGTTCTCAGGAATTATATAAACGAAAAAGATGAGACGGTGCGGTTATTTTATTAGCAAAAGTAAATTCTAGGTAGCTTTTAGCAGGGAGGGAAAAAGAAGAAAAAGACGCAACCTAAAAATAAACAAGTACTGAGGTAAGTAAGTAAATTAATTAAATAGGTAAATAAATACAGCACTCTTCTGGGACCATTTATAACTGGAGCAAATAGTATTATGTATTCATAGTCTCTCATGATTTCACTATATTGTAACATAACTCTGTAATTGGTGTTCATAATGTTAATCCTAAATAATCTTTATACTTCATTTGAAAAGGTGTAACAATGCACATTTCAAAGAATCATTGAACCCTATACAATCTAGAATCATTTCCTGACTATTCCTGATAGTAGAAATTTCTGTTTATGTGTAGTCAAACTGTTCAATGAATGTGCTACATGCTGCTTTTACCTGATAGCTAATGAAACAAATGATCTAGTGATAATTTCTCAAAAGTATACAGGAAAGAATATGAGTGATATAAATTTCTTTATGGACTGGTTTGGATTTACTTGGAAAGGGAAAGATGTATCA